GCCGGCAGGGGGCGCGGGCGGTGTGACGTCACGGGCCCGGGGCCGGTTTTGTAAGAGGTTTCGTAAGGGTTTCGTAACCCGCAGCGCCGCCAGCGCCGCCAGCGCCGCCGCGCCCCGGTCACCGCGGCTCCTGGCGAGCACCTCCCGGCGAATTCCCGACAGCGCGGGCAGCGCCCGAGCTCGGTTTTGGCCGACAGCAGCGCGGCGCTTGGCGCGCACAGAGCGGGGTGACCTCGGTGCGCTCCCAGCCGCACCGAAATAGCCGCAGTGGAGGAGCGCGGGGGAACCTCCCAGAACTGGTCCTGTCGCACGGACACCGCTGGCGCCCGGCCGTGCCAGGAGTCCCGGCCAGGCTGCAGAGCTCGCAGCGCTGCCTGTCCCGGCGCCCCAGCAGCACACCAGCGGCTGGGCCGCAGGGACGCTGCCGAACTGACCGTGTTCGGCCCGTAGCACATACTTAAACGAGAGCTGCTAGGAGAATAAAGTTTTGCTGGGCATACCTATCTTGATCCTGTATTCCCTGACTCTTTCACCTCATTATTCCTGGACGTGGCTAACTCGCTGCTGATCTGTCAGAGTGGATGGAGTAACTGCTGGGAGATGGTGGGGCAGCTCTGACTCCATTGCAGCCTGAATACCCACCGAATGATTTTTTGCAACTGGAGAATTTTGTAAAGGATGTTAAAAATGCAAAGCATTTTGAGAGGTCTCACTGTGACACAGTTGTGGAAGGAAGGCAGTGACCCTGAAACAGGCAGGGACAGTGCAGCAGATACCCATCCCTTATCCATCAGGCTGCCTCTCATCAGGTTGCTTTTTTTTTCTTTAAAAGAAATGTTACCTAGTGGAAGCAAAGCAAAATGTCATCTCCAAGAAGGAGTCATGCCAACATATGGTGCAGATTAGGAGCTAGATTTCAGCAGTTTTTGCTCATGTAAGCTTCAGGCTATTTTAGCAGGAGATCTGTTAAAGTAGGTTTCTATATCTGAGTGATATCAAGTGTGGAACTACTTATAAACCTGTCTTGTAAGAGAAATAACACAATTATAAATAATACAGCCAGACTTTAGGAAAATGAAATGCGCATTTTGAAATGCAGAATAAAAAGTGGCACATCCTAAACATTAGAATTATTTACATGAATTATAATACTACAGAATCCAATATCTTTGCCCCTATATGTTGTCAGTATCTGTTCTTATAACTGAAATAATAGAAAACACTCTTGTCAGTTGAGTTTGTCCAGTCCCAGGCAGAACCAAAATGATCACTGAGGACGATGATGGACATCTGCAAGAGAATATAAAAACCTGTGGAAACCCGTGATGAGGTTCCTTAGTCCATATGTGTCTTTCAGGGGCTGTTTGCTCACAGCTGCTAGATCCAACTGATGCCTGAGATGGGCCTTGTGATTCTATGTTTCAGATTTTGGCAGAGCAATCCCCTTGGCATGGCTAAGAAATACTGGAAATTGCCCTAGGAATTCTGTGGGAAAGTGCTCTGGGGGTCTCAAAGAATTTATCTGCTCAATGAGGCATGGAGATTTGGTATTGCCAGCCCCATGTTTGCCAGCAGGGAGGTGTGACTTGTTCCCTCTAAGCAGCCTCATAAAAACCTCATAATTTTGACCAAAACGCATAAATATCAGGAAATAACTCACAATGCAAAAGTGTTTTATCTCCAGCATTATATCCAGATCATTCCTGCTCTCCATAGTGGGTACCAAAATCCCAGATTGTCAAACCCAATCAAGCCTACACTGCTATGTAAAAATACAGGTATTGTGTTTCTGTTAGGAAAGCAAACACTACCCTGGCTCACAGCCCTGCTCCAGAGATTGACCCGGCCACTCTGCAGCACGAAATGTCACTGAATTCCACCCTGGGAAGGGTTTGGTGACAATGGCAGTGACTCAAGCTGCACTTCTGAGGGAAATGAATGCAAGCCTGAAGTGCCATTCATCATGGGTCACCAGAAGTGAGCAGTGCAGAGGTGACTGCAGGGGACTGATGCAGGGAGGGGTGACAGGGGAAAGCTCTGAGCTCACCTGCTGTGCTCCCTGTCATGGGCTCTGCCTGCTTCCCTGCTTCAGGTATCACAACTCTGCACTTTCCACATGGCAGCTGAGGTGTTTACTGTTTCTTACATTTATTAAAATTGTGTTTTGTGGTGTATTTTCCCCCTGTCATATTCTGAAATATGGCTGCGCTGCAGTAACACAGCACAAGTTCCTTGATCTGAAATCCAAGTTTTATTGATGTGAAATATTGGTATTCACAGGCAATACTAATGAAAACCATTCAAAAGTCTTGCTCTAGCCTTGATTTGGAAAAACAAGTTCCCACTCCCTCTGTCAATCTGGCAGTTGTAATGACAGAAAATTGTCAGTGTTTTCTTTTCCAGACATACCTCTTCAGTGACTTCCATTATACAATTCCTCATGGCTGCCCAGCTGTAAACACTCTTTCATCAGCTGTCAGCTCAGTATCAGCCTCCTCATGCTTGGCTGTATTTTCCTGAATGTACTTCTTAGAGAAAACTTTGTTGGATAGCAAAGCTCCTTTTCAGTGATTCCAAAATTGGCTCATTAATTCCTGGCAAGTCATAATGCATCCCTGCATGACAAGGTCATATTAGATGATGCTTTTAATAAACAAATACCTTTATTGACAGAAAGAAAGCACAGCAATACCTCAGTTCAGGGTGGTACCAACTCCTCTAGCTTTGCCCATACTTTAACAGGAGTTTTGTTCAAATAATTTTCATCCTTCTAGATTTCTGATTAATGTCTAAAGAAGACACCAATGGGGAAATGCCACCACTACAGAACATTCTGGAAAAGTGGTGTTAGGCACAAATGAGTTTCCATGATGAGACATTGATTAGGTCAGAACAGAGCTCAGAACACTCTAGCAGGGATTAACATGCTTTGCTGCATCTCTTTCTTTCTTCAGAGAAACATAAATGGAATAAAAATATTTCCCTTTCAATACTGAAGATGTGTTTTTATTGAAATAACCGGTATTCTTTACCAGTTTTACCTCCTCTGCAAGGCATTAACAGCTTCAGTGCTGATGTTGAGTCCTGACAAGTGCTCCCCAGTGCTGCAGCAATCTGTCCTCTCACCCCAAAGCCCTTCACCTTCCTTCTTCAGAACAGGTGTTGTCCCAAATTCCTCATCGCTGAGGCCTCATGACCCAGGGCAGAGGGAAAGGACCAGAATGCAGCAAACAGCACTGGGGAGCCCTGGGCTCCATAAACCTCCCAGCCTCAGGCAGGGGAGCTGCTCTGCTGAAGTGCCCCAGTGCAGCTGCTCTGCAGCCCTGCCCAGGCTGGGGGAGCTGGAGCAGCTGGTCCTGGTGCCACCTGAGGACAGTTATTTCTGTCCTGGGGCTGCTGCTCTGGTGCCCTGGGACAGCTCTTCACGTGGCCAGGAGGAGCCCTGAGGAACAAGGCACCTAAATTTCTTCTTGCACAGTGAGCCATAAATGAAATGGAGAAATGACAGGAAGGCCATGCTAGTGCTACAGAGCAAGAAAATGGATCAGGGCTCATTTGGCCAAAGCTGTGCACCCCCAAAACACTGACTGGAACCAGCTTGGCTTTAGCCAGACCTGCAGCAGTTCTCTCAGTTCAGTGCATTTCCTCTTCACCTGCTGACAAACACTGACTTGTTTGTATCATGCAATTCTCTTCAACTCAATTGCAACACAGAGCAGTGTAAGACAACCAAATGCCTGTGTTTGTTTCTGCACTTTATCAATTGACTTCATCAACTGAGTTTTGTTTTGTGTCCTGTAGTATTTACTTCCTCCCTCAGTTTGAAGAAAA